CGACACCCACTCTCCGCGGTCGAGCTTTTTCTGACGAGTTTGGCTATCTTAGAAATCACCCATGCATCGACATTCAACGTGACATTTAAAGAGATTATTTTGTTCCGAATCGGCGCACTCAAGGTCATAATGCAGTATTTGTATGGCGTTGAAGGCGCAGAAGTTAACGGATAGGACTCGATGCTCGCAAAAGCCCATTAACGCGAATCAGAAACAGCCTATAATATCACAGACATAGCTATCAAAGAACGCCAATGACATCGCTCTTTGGAGTCGTATCACCGGTCCGGCATGTCATGTCCAAAGCTGTACTCACGGAGATCCTCCACGAGCTTGAACATAACGCCTCCGACGTGCATGTCGCCCTTGACGCGGATCCGCTTCTCGACCTGGAGGTCCGTGACGAACACGGAGAGCATCCACGAGCCGTCCACGCGGAACCCGTCCACTCTGAATCCGTCCGCCATCTGCACCGGGGAGGGGAGGGGGGGGGGCGTCACACTGCAGCACAGAGATCGTCTCTCCCAAGGGAGAGATCATTGATGTTTCTATCATTCAGTAGTCCAGTAGAAAAAGGTGTTTCTAATTTCAACCCATGCATATTTAAGACCTACAAAATTTATGCTGGTAAGCAATTTGAGTTAGTAGCTACTATTTACATTCATTATTCATACAATGCACCATTGATCAATACGTAACAGTGGTGATTTCCTCCTAATGATGCAACCTCTAAAAACTGAACAAACTTACAGAGCAAAACATTAAAAGAAAGAACATATCTTTCTCACGTTGAAAAGTGAGACCGCACATTGACAATTATGATAGTTTTTACACATCTTAACATGCATAAAGTACACCCAACCACATGTTGAGCCAGGTAAGGTAAGGTTAGGATGCATTAGGTAGGGTAAGGTCAGATTTGATTAGGTTTTGTTATTTCTGCTTGTAGTGTACCCAAAATTGTCAGCATTAAATGATTTTGAGCCTAGGGTGTAAAAGGGCAATTTTACCAAAACAGTAGCTTCCAAATCAGTAGGCGGAACTATGGTCATGAGTACCCAAATATAGGAACGTTCCCATTTTTGGGAACAGAGTTCCCAAATATGGGAACGGGCGTTCCCATTTATGGGAACGGAAGGTAATTTTTCGGCCGTTCGCCCACTAAAACTCATTAGTGCATCACGTCTCAAAAAAGTGCACGCTAATTTAAGTATCTACTAAGTCTCTATAAAATTATCTTTAATCTGACCGTTGCACAAGGAAATTGACCGTAGAATGATATTTTTAATGATTTTTTGAAATGACGGAATGGTGAAAACATGGGTTATACTACATTTAACTTGCAATTTTAAGGAAAATGAAGCGTTTCTTACATTTTGAGGTCAAGTATAATAATTTTCGCCTGGTTATGAAGTTTCATACTAGCGACACCAGATGCTGACATATGCAAGCGAACACGCGGACAGTCCGGGGGTAATATCGGTGACATTTGGTGTCGGGGCGCACGACCGCGTGGAACGTGAGTGAATTTACCGAACTACTGTTGTAAACTCAGTTTCAGTGGTTTAAAATTATTCAGCTGTATTTTATCGTCCCAGAAAGACATATTTTATTTGGATGCTAGCTGTTTAGAGTTGTTTTATAAGGAGCGTCATGAGCGTGGTTTTGTCTTCCGTGTTTCTAAGCGTGATCGTTTTGGGGGAATTTCTCTTATATAGGTCGCTCTGTGTGGCTTATTTATAATTTTTATGCTGATTTCGATCATTCCTCGTGCCCATCCTACCAGGCCTTTTGCCACTTACACTCATCAAGAAAGAAAAAACTAGATTTTCATTGGGACTAGGTGTTTAGAGGGTGTAACATATCCAGCGTTCCCATTTTTGGATACTTCCTTGTGCTCGTCAACTATAGGTGATAAACAGACAGGTGCTTGACATGTCTCCACCCTCGGCGCGGACGGTGGATATAGGTATGGAAGACCTTGTTGAACATCGCTGAGCGTTGTGAATTACGTAATCCTGCAGAGGGGGGCGTGCCCGCTGCGAGATCGACGGGAATAAAAGCGCAGAAGACCGGGCGAAACATGCGACGGTCTTGCCGGAAAGGTCATCTGATGATTGTTGCGTTAACAATAATTTGCGGCGTTGGACGTGATGCTTGTTAATGAAAAGAGCCCCTGAAAGGCGTCGGTGAAATCGTTCCCAATTTTGGGTACGCCGTTCCCATAATAAGGAACGCTTGCAGCGCCAGTGTACGAGAGCGTTCCCAAATTTGGGCTCGCGGCCCGGATGATGGACTGCTTTAGAAATAGGGGAACGATTTGAAACTACGATGGGCCTTACAATATCAAACTTTTTCCCAACAATATTGAGACAAATATCAGGTGGTTCACGATCGTTTTATATTTTTTGGACGTCATTTAACCCGCGCCCCGTAGGGGGGGGGGCCGAAACGGCCCCCCCCCTGTCCTTTTCGGTCGATATCTCCTAAACGGCTGGAGATATCGCCACCAAACTTTCAGGACCCCTCCGGGCATCAATTTTACACATTGTGACCAAAAATTTTTCCAGAGGCTGTGATAGGTTGGCCACAAATGACGTCAGAGTGACGTCATGTTCTGTCATTTTCGACCGAAAAAAGACCTTCGCGAGAAGACCTGTCAGGCCTACAGCTTTGAAGATACAGAAAAATGATTAAGACATAAAAGGTGTAGAATTGACAGGGCTACAAAACTGCTATCTCGGATTTTTGAAATTTTTGAGTTTTGATCCCCAAAAATCAAAAAAGCATTTTTTTGGATTTATTAGTCAAAAAATCCAAAAAGTTTTTTGAGTTTCGAAAAAACCGGAATATATGTGATAGTACCTACCGTCTTCTATCTACATACCAAATTTCAGATCGATACCTCGTTTTTTGGCCAAGTTATAGCGAAAAAACTGTTCAAAAATGATGACGTCAAATTTTCAAACTCAATTTTTGGCAATTCTAGAACTCGTAGAGCAAAACAAAGACCACCATTAGACTCCCCGTGACGAGCTGCATCGAATGGATACCCATTTTATGAAAAAATATCAACTTTGAAATTTGACCTAATTTGACCTGACCTTGACCTGACCTTCACCAAAACGTGACCTAGGCTGGCCCCAAAGGCTGCCTAACCCACATAATCGCATTTGTCATGTAAAATGGACCATAAAACATGTATCACACGACACATTCATATTGTGACCCCCGGTGACCTGACCTCGCTGTGACCTGACCTGGTATCAGTGACCTCAGATAGCAAAGTATGTGTTTGACGAACAATATACCATCGATGGTTTTCAATAAATTACCAATTTACTCGATTTCACAGCACATTTCTTGAATTGCCTGTGAACGGTGAAAATCTGACATTTGACCTGACCTGTGACGTCATCGGTTTGACCTAGGTCAATGAAATTTGGTCACAAGGTAGTTCCCGGGTAGGGCTATCAAACGCCGTTTGAATTTTGAAAATCGGCCGGTAACTTTCCGAGATCTTAGGGGGGGGGGCCGAAACGGCCCCCCCCCTACGGGTGGTAGGGTCCGCCGGTAGCCCTACGGGGCGCGGGTTAACGGTTCTTTTTCTTGTTTTAAATAATGCCTACATGGCGTTCCCATATTTGGGTTTATCGTTCCCAAATATGGGAACGAAAATGCGTTCCCGAAAATGGGTACGCTTGACCATAGTTCCGCCTACTGAAATTAAACACATGGTTTAAGGTCATTAATGCAATTTTCTCATAGCCTGTGAGAGCAAATCATTTTTTGTGATTGATGCATTAAAAGCTCACAATGACACAGCCCACGGATGTAACATTCTACTCATTCACCCATCACCAATTTCACATCTACTCCGCCCACCTTCGACCCAGTCTACTGGTAATCTTTTTGGTCATAATAATCAAGTCAAGTTAGTAAAAGTACGTCTCTCTCTCTCAACCCAATCACAGATAAATCACAGATAAAATCCAATCACAGATAAAATGTCATATTCAAGTGCGAAATACACTGTTTACACATGAAATCTGATTAAAAACCCACCTCGACCTTTCTTATGCCCAGTTATTCACGAAGCTTGAGCAACTCCTTCTGTTGACGGTTCAAAAATGTCGCAGAACCGGATGCAGCTGATAGGAGAGACTTTCAGATTCAAACACGCATTATTCACAAAATGTGATAAGATTCCCCAAGCACAATACACGGGAACACCGCACCCTCGACCTCTCCAGCCGCACGACCACAATCGTCACAGCTCGCCCGAGTTGTGTATCCGAAATGACCTAGAGATGGGTGGGAGCAAGTACTTTTAAGGTACTCGTGCTTCTTGGTCACTAAAAAAGGAAAGTTTCATTCAGAAAGATACTGAATGATTCAAACAAAACACATTTTCCTAAGCTGCTATTGAATTTTTGTTTGACTTTTGACTCAACGCCTTATTCCGCTATTTTGCATTCTCGGGATGAAATGGCTCTTTGCCGCGCATTTATTTGTCGATTTTCAATACAAAGGACTGCTTTTCATTTAGAGTAAAATATATTGAAATATATTTTGTGAACAATAAAAGCATTTGTATGCAAAACATTCAGTTTTGCCCTAAAGAAACCGGGGAGAATTCCCTGCTCACTAGATGGCGCCCTGGAAATCTGGTAGCTATAGAGGTGGAAAGGTAGGAAGTTTACACTAGTACTTGAAATATTTCTATCTACTAAGCTGTTTTCCCAACAAAATGGAAATGCAATATTCATACATAACTAGAGTCATCACACCCGAATATATATTTCATGTGTAAGTGAATGGTGACTGTCACTTTTCAAAGCTCATAACTGATTTGTTCTAAAAAGAATTTTTCGTTTTCTGAAAAAATATCTAAAATGGAAGCTTCTTAGTCAGCTGACAGCGACCTTGAAGCAAAAGTGAACATGACGCAAGTAATACGTAAATGTAAGTTGAAAGAAGAGTTGTAACTTGTAAGCATCATTTCCCATTCGCTGTTTGTCCGTCGTGTGGTGCGCTGCGCGGTTCTGGTTCTGTGGGTGAAGGAAAGGGGCATTTGTGCATAACCGTTTTTCAGTTGGTGTTTTCACCCCTTCATCGACAATAAGTCACAAATAAGTGGCTACACAGAGCTTGCTGGTAAGTGTGATAACAAACTTCGAAATTTGATCCTCTTTCTCAAACTTTTGATATATGTTAGGGGGATTTATTTATATTTTCGATTATTGATGCAGCAAAATTGACACAAGTGTGAAAAATGAGGTATTTTTGTATTTTCTGCTTGTCATCAACAGGTACTGAGCAGTGGCACTTAGAGTACGGCAATTGTTGTTGCCGAATGTGGGCTCCAAAACCTGGTTGTGCGGGGCTCTCATGTGACAAGTCATTTCACTCTGCTTGCATGCTGATAATCTGTTTTGTCAGCTATTCATCAGTTTTGTTCAATAATATTTTCTTCTACTTGGCTTCACTTAGGATGGCTTTTTAAACATTAGTTTTGGGAAGGCCATGAATTACAAATAAATTAGATTATGCAGACTTAGTCACTGGAATTTTGTATGTGAGTTTTAGTGAGCATTCCACTTTTATCTTCAAATCACTGACTTACTGCAGGGCATGTGTTAAACACACACACAAAGTGAGTCAATGTTTCATATTGGGAATGTTTCTTTCAGAGCTGGTCGCCATGCTGCCATCACGGATGCTGTGCCGCCGCAACTTTAAATGGTTGCTGCTGGTGGCAGCAGTTTGGTGCTTTGGCATCGTCTACTACGTGTCTGTGAAGGGCAATGACCCACCACAGGTGAGCTCTTAATCCGATCACACACCGGTGAGCATTTACCGACACCTAACTAACACCCACCATCCATCTTCCACCTCACCACCCCCACCCACTAGCCAGTTAAATGCCAGAATAAAAAGGCACATAACTCTTAGATAGTCTCTATTTCATTTCCATATTCGGTTTCTTTGAGTTGTGTCTCTGAGTTTCAAGGCAAAAAAGGGGGTTTTTGCGGAGCGAGCGGAGTCTTACGTAGAATAACGGAAATTTCTGAGTATGAGCGGCCGGCCGGCCGGCCGTGGTCACGCTTTTGCGACGCTTAGCAACCACTTGACCGATTTACATGCGATAATTTTTGTAGGGTAGCTTCATTCCTTCTACCAAGTGTTGGACTGTTCCCGATGCATGTGGGTGACCCCTTATGCACGTGCCACGTGCAAAACGAAGAGGTTTCAGTTTTGTAATAGTTGCAATATCTCGGTAACTACTTGGCCGATTGCGCTGAAAGTTGGCATGTAGGTAGGCACCCACTGGCCACTAGGCACTGCGCCTTATCCATGTGCCAGAGCTGGGGTTCTGCTGCACGTGCGCACGTGCAGGGGTCGTTTCCAGATCTCGAGAACGGCTGGACCGATGGTGCTCAAATTTGGTACACGGTTAGGGACCAGTTAGCAAGGTGCCGTGTACAAGTCAGTTGGACCCATTTTGCACGTGCGCACGTGCAATGTGCCGCTTCCAGATCTCGAGAACGGCTGGGCCGATTGTGCTCAAATTTGGTGCATCGCTAAAGACCGGTTAGTAGGGTGCCGTACACAAGTGAGTTGGAGGTACCCCCTCGCAATTTCGTACGTGCAAGGCCCACCCTCTCGGTCGCTCCGTTGGTCGCCCCGCCCAAAGGCGTTATACTGGTAGTATCGCAGATGTGTGGTTGAGTATTCATTAGTGCAATATTAGTGGCAAATGGCGATAGACGCTAGATTGCTAATGGCCGCTGTTGGCGCAGTTTGCGTCGTAAGAATCGTTGTGCGCCTGTGATGCCAATAGCGACGACCACATCCCAGCTAACGGCGATAATAAGCATGAGGGCTCGATACGAGACGCCCATGTCGCTCCTCCGCCAAGGCTGCTCTGAAGTCTGAGACCATCGTTGGCTTCGGCGGATACTTTTGAAACGGCAGCTTAAATTTGATGCGCCCGCCTTTCCCATTTTCTTCGAAACCGGGGTCGATTTGTCGATGTTGTCACGCTGTTCGCTCTTTCGTGACCTCCGAGACGGTGGTGGAGTGACTTGGTGACTTAGTGTCGCTATCTCACCTGTTCCAGTGTGGCCAAATTGGTGATGTTGCGGGGAAAGTCACCCCCAATGAAAAGTTTAATGACATCCTCAGAAATTTGAAAATTATATCATCACAACGCTTTTGTTGTGAAAGCATACCTAGTGTAGGAATAAAGACTAAAAATGTTCCAATGTACGATTCGCACCGTCATACTCGTACTGTCGCGCTTGCAATGTTTTTTTTTTTACATCTTTGATGACAATATTTGACTTTTTTTTACTTTCCACCAGAGCTTGTCGTCAGGTATAGTTTTTCCACATAACTTGTAAAAACTGCACCTTAAGTGACACTGAAGACGAGTTTTTTTTTTTAAATAGTGACATCCTCATACGACTTTTTTATACATCCTCCCCGTAACGCTAAACCAATTTGGCCACACTGACCTGTTCCGACCCTCGGGTGGCGTTAAAACCATACATAGACCTGGGTTGTCAGAGAAGCTAGTCAGAAACTCCCAGATTTAAAGACTTGCTTCGTTGTTATGTGATGTTTGCCTTGGATCCCGATCATTTCGGATCGCTGAATTTTGGACACGACACTGCTTTGTGAGACGTCAACGTCGGACACAAAAAAGGAGCCCTCGTCCGGCGGTGCATGTCCGGTCAGCGGGGACTACCGTAATCAGAGTTCGTTGCCGTAACCCAAACTCGCCCAGCGGTGGCGGCTTCCCGAGCACCGAGCCTGGCCGTGTCGTGACGGACGGTCGTGGCGCATCTAATGACCGTGACGCCGCCTCCGTCACGGTCGGGCGGCTGTCCGACTCGTGACGGCTGCGTCTGCCGCTGACGGTGCCGGTAGAGCGGTGATACCGAACACGCGGTTCGTCACGGTAGCGGTGGTACCGTGATGCGTACAGCTATGCTAGTAATGTTTCCTGCGACCGTCCGGTACCCAGCCGAATACTCCCGTACGCCAGCACCGGTCAACAAACAGCCTTTGGTAATGGATGACGTTAAAAGTGCAAAATACAGCACGGGGACCTGCTGCTGTTACTAAATTTGCACCCGTCTGGACCTCGCCAGTCGCCGTGCGTCTGAAGTCTGAACGTATGCTTGTTTTGCTGAATGTTGACGGTCATTCTTAGAGAGTGAACTACCGGCGTTGGCGTGATGCCTTCGAGATATTATTTAGGTTAAGCGAGCGCATAGCTCATTATGACACAAGAAACCACTGGCGCTGCCTCTGTCCAGCTTTGAAAGAATGTTTACATCGGCGACAGAAGTGGCTGGCGTGGCCACTTCGTAGCGACATTGGGTTACAAATAATAACACAAAAGAGACGTCGCTCTTGATGAATGACGATCATTCACGCGGTGTAAGTACGAAGGTACCCGCGCCAGCTCGCTCGCTGTTACGCCGCTGTATGTTGCAAGCTGTGCGACATCCACAAACGCTCTGTAATGCCGATGCTGCGTCGTGGAGCTGATGCGCCGCCACTCATTCCCTAATTTTCCGTTTACGGTACGTACGATCATAAAACAGCCATCAGCGCGGCAGACCGGGCTAGCGAGCCTGTGCGGCATATTGCAGGGCTTATGACCATGCCCGCTATTCACTATGATTGAACTATGATTCAGCACCGTCGCTTTGAGTCAGCTGTCATGCTGCTGTGTCCGCTGCCGTCCCTACGTTTGCGTCATATACGAGTAATATGCACGTTCTCGGCTAGGTCGTTTCACGCGTGAAGCCGGGCGAAACGAGGGGGTGCTCGTCATCCATCTATTTTCGTCCAAATGACTATAACGAAATTTGAGTTATCCACGTCGATGGCAGGTTCGCTGTCGAAACTGATATGGCAGTCAGCGGTCTATGGCTATATGAAAATCGCCACTCCCTTCCGCAAACACGAAAGCGCGTTTGGGTAAGTGGTTTTCTTTTTCCCAGCCTGAAGTCCCGGGATGCCCCCAGTGCGGTCCAGTCAGTCCCTTTGATTGTAACAGCCCCAGTGTTGATGTTTTTAGTTAGACGGGTGGTTGCGTGCCAGGGCAGATCGATTAACGCGTGTGGTTCATCGATCTCGCTAACTCTACGGCGTACGAACACTGAATAAATGACAGCTGCAGGCCAACAGACAGCTATTCTTGCACGCCACTCTCTATTGGTGGATGTAACATTTATAGGCAATCTTGATGTTGTGGGGTTTCTAACTCCGGTCTAGCTTTATTGCTGTAGGGGAAGGAGGGTGAATTGCGCCACCTTAAGGAAAAACGCTGATTGTAAGAAAACCGCTGGAGATATAAGCATGCATTGGTGACCATTTCAAAGAGGAACTCATTGGCTACGATTTAAGAGCATCCCGATCAATTAAGAATGTTTCGTTTGCTTCTGACAGCTGCTATTTCAGAAACATGTAAAAGGGCGCATTTGCCAACAACTGCTGTAAATTGCGCCAGGGGGATGGCGCAATTAGAACCGAATTGCGCCCTATACTTTAACATGGCTAAGCGAATGAGACGGAATGCATACACCCCGGCAGTCTAATGTCATCGCGGCTTGCTTTAATATTCATAATGTTATTCACGCTGGTTAAATAATAAATGTAGGTGTAAATCGCGATGTTTTTTAGCCCACGTAGATAACTTTACATGTGTTCGTTTCGTACGCTTGTAAAAGTGCAACGAAAACGTTTACTGTAACCGACTAGATATATGTGAACGTATGCGCCTATACGGTTACATTTTCAATCGTTTCTCTCAAAATTAATAATTTTTATTGTTTCGACAGCTTTATGACATCAGTTTTTACTTTTTTGTCATAGCTGTCACCTCTCACGCCTGAGTCCATGTTGAAAATGTCGTATTTTGTCAATTACACCACAAGTTCGTAGCCTAAATGGCAGCTAAATTATAAGTTTGACGAGAGAAATAATTTGCGGACTGACGACAGCGGGTTGCTCCCCTGCCTGACATTAAACTCCTCCTTTATTGCAATCAGTTAATGATGCATTCATGCTGTCGTGATATGCAATAGCTACACCATTATTCTATTTGCGCCCCCCTGGCGCAATTGCCATGGGCGCAATTAAAATTGAGGTGCTTTTTAATAAAAGCGTGGAAGTTATCATAAAGATGTTGAAGGAAGCTAACTGTTTTAGTGAAATATAATGAAAAAAGGACTTTTCTTTTTAAATATCACTCTGAAAATCACATAAATATCACACATTTTTATAGCCAACGGTACAAAATACTGCAAAAAAACTAAGAAAACGCCGTAACATCTTTGATGGCGTAATGAGCCTTGCTGATTGGCTTCATCGGGGAGCTTGGGCCATAAAAGGAACTGTCCAGTGGGGAAAATAATGTTTTCGAATTCAAAATTCAAAACATGCCATTGAATCCGTGGGAATGTTGGTGGGCGCAATTGGTTAGAAGGGCGCAATACACCCACTTTCCCCTATTTCTTTTATGGGAGCTATAGGCTATTTTTAGCATATTGTCTTGATGTTGATTTGCAAGGAGGTGGCAATCGCGACATTATGGAATGTGTAATGGAACTACTAATGACCTTTATCGCTCGGTACAGACCTGTTTGTGACAATCGCTCGTGTTTCCTGACATTGGATGCCTGATTAAAACGCATGCTAACGACCTGCTTTGCAAGTGCCTATGCCAAAACCGTTCCAACTAGCAATCATTCATGGAAATAATGTATGCAAAATAATGAAATGGACTCCTCATAATGGTCGTTGCACGCACTGAGCCGCTGAACGGTGTGTCCGGTTCACGGAGCAGCAACAGGCTGGTGCCTGACCGTCAGTGGACTCTCCGTGCGCCGGCCTGTCCAGTCCAAGTCTGTCACTGACTGAGCCGTGAAACAACACGACTAGTTTTCGTTACATCACGTTACCTCAAAGCACATCATGGTACCTCCGAGCGTTTCGCGGCCTTGTCTGGCCAGTACCGCCTTGTTACGCGATGTCCAAACGCTGAGGAATTTGATAACAGTCTGGCTGCGACACGAATGGGACGAGCTGCCATGCCGGTCTGCTTGAGGTCCGGTCCGGCCGGCCCGCATCCAGGTTCAGCTACAGGACCGAGCGGGGTGTCAGCAGCGGGCTGGTCGTGCGGGTGGTGTCGGTGGTGGCTCGGCAGCGCAGAGCAGAGTAGTAAAACCATAACGCGGACGGTGTTAGCACAGACTGGGTGATGAGGTGCAATCGCGACTGATAGCAACTCTGTTGCCGGTAGGGGCTGCCGTAGCGGCTGGGTTTTGTGAACGAGCGGCTGTCGGTGCGAGTAGTGACAAAGTAGCTTCGTAGTTGTAGGTAGCGGCTTGGTCGGTAACCGGTCGGTGCTGGTTCTAAGTAGTGCGGGCGGGGTCGGTATGGTGTAAGTAGCGGCTTGGTAAGGCAGCTGGCGACTGGCCGTCGGTTCGCTGGTCGTCGTCGGTAGCACTAGCGCCTCAGCAGCTCGGTCAGGCGGCTCGCTCGGCTCGGTGTCGGCAGCGGCGGATCCCTGGGACCGTGTTTACCCGGTCTGTGTATGTCGTCGGCCGGCTGCCGCGGCTGATCTGTTTACTCTGAGCCAGCGGGGGAGCTGCGGGCCGGAGAGAGACCGCGGCCGGCGAGAAGGGTGCTGCAATGCAACCGGCCGCTTGCACGAGAAAATGCTGACTCGCCACTCACCCGCTTTCAACAAACGATGCTGTAGTGCGTCCAGGATTTTCAACGGCTCATTCTCAAATGCCTGAAAAGGCCTGCATAGAGTGTCAACAGGACATAGGTACCATATATCAGCAAGGCCGTCGCTGGTGTTATCAGGCCCGCCGTGCTACCGTGGTTGTGTCCGTGCCTACGTTAGCGTGACCGTGCTGCGGTGGCGAACTCGGATCGACACGGACCGTTTTGGCTACACGGAGCCGCTCAAGGCTGGCGGCCGATAGTTGTGGCCCCCGGACCGGATATCGCTCCAACCAGCCAGTCCTGCGGGGCCGAGACGGGGGCGGGGTACGAGAGGGGACACGAACCAAGTTCGTGCATTTTACGGGGATACGGATAGAGCTCGCGCCATACGGGTCCGGGGCTATAGACAGAGAACTAAGGCAGAGTTGGCGACCAACGATGCGAAAAAGCGTTGCGCCAAGCGGGCTCAAGCAGACCTCGCCGGTCCAACGAGGCTTTCGGACAGGGCTCTCGCTCTACGGGTTCGGGACCATAAGCAGAGCTGGCGATTGACAACATGAACAGAGCGCTGCGACTGACGAGGCTCGCGCAGACCTCACGCCAAACGAGGCACGCGGGCAGACCCCGCTTTCGTTAGCTGCTCATGTGGCGCCCGGTCGATGGTTATTCGATACGATACCACCCGTACAACTATTGGGCGTGGCTAATTGACGCTATCGGTGGACGCCTAATTGTGCAATCGATTCATGTAATTAGGGCCAACGAGCATCGATCTAACGGCCCTATATTGCGGCCAATGGTGGCTAGTTTAGCGGTGAAACCGATAGGCATGGAACAGCCCTTCGCTGCCAATCGTCGACACGCATCCATTCGGAGTTCGTTGACGACCCAAAGTTCAGCGATTTCACATCAACATCCACGGACCTTTGGCTGTCAACTGGTGCGTGTAGCAGTAGGAGCGCCCGATGCCGGCTTTACCAAATGAGTTAACATCCCGGGCTTAATTTATTCCTGCATTTATCCCCATTCAATGCCTGTAACACCGAGCTGTAGGCATTCTACTGACACAGCTCCTGGTAAGCCAGTCCGTGTCGACGCAGTCCAGTAACGCAGTTGTCAGTACCTAATGCCCTAGAGGTTTTCACCTCGCAAACCAGGAAGTGCGTATTTTCACTTCGACCGGTCGCCAGATGTCCTGCCCAGGCTAATTGCACGATTCCCTCCAATTTATATATGTAATATGTAAGCCACATGGCGGCGCACCGCACTTTCCCGTCCTCTGGAGTCTGGACAGAAAATAAGCATCCCTCGGGCTTGTGTTCCAGTCGGAATAATTAAACTCCCGTTGCTATCCGTAACAGAACGTTAATTGGTTCAGAGGCGTTTCATCTTTGCTAATGAAAGAAGATGCTCATTAGTTTGCATACCGGGCGTGCTGCTGCTTACGCCACCGTATCCTCCCTGTGCCGTTTCGTCACAATACGGTCCCGGTGAAAGGTTTGGTCCAGTGACTGTGCCGGTCCCGGGCCCGCGGCGGCTCCTGGCCATCCCTGGCCGGGCTGCCGCTCAGAAGGTGACGACTTGACCGTGACACCGTTTCCCGCCCGACCGGCCGCGCCCGGCCCGCCCACTCTCGCCCGGTGTGGTCGGACCGGTGCTGACCGCTGGCCGCTGGCCGCTAACTACTGATCGTGAACGAGACGGCGAGTGGTCTAACGACACCTGCCCCTGCTCGCTGAGCCGTTTAACCAACACTAGCCCCTGCTCGCCGAGCCGTTTAACCAACACTAACCGCAGGTCTCCTAGTGGTCTACGAAGTTGACAATGTTTGCTGAGTGGTCAAACTAACATTTACCGCAGGTCAGTGGTCGCTGAACTGTGACCGATGCTGACCATTGGCCGCCAAGCTGTCTGACCAACACTAGCCGCTGAGAGCCTTGGCACCGACCGTCGCTCGGTTGGGCAGTCCGCCACCTTTGGAGTCACCACGCTGGCCCACCGATAGTACAGCGGCTGTGTGCTAGATATGGCAGTGGTGGAACGGTTTGATTCTCCTGTCGCATCAGTGTGCGGCGGATTGCGTGGTTTCCCGGCCAATCGTGACCTGCGGGTCACGACTTTGGCCGGTATACCGACCCTCGGTCCTTTCCCTTTCACGCATGCCGCGATTCGCGCTTCTTGCGCAGACTTTTGCAGGTCTTTGTAGCCGCCCGTGGAACGCATTTCGTGGTAGCTTTCCGAAGAATAGGAGGTCCGTTCAGTTACATGCGGGCTGACTGAACAAAGCGATGTTCCTCCACACTTGCGTAGCATACCACGGCGGTGTAGTCATTGTTCATCGATTGTCCTGGTCCTGTTTTCCTGCACATGGCTGCCATGCCGTTTTTGGACATCACAGCGTCGGAATGGTTGTAGAAATATGTGATGCTATCAAGAGCTTGCAGGCAATGTTGTAAATGAAATCCGCGTTTCGCTGAGGTTTGCTGTTAGCTGGATCATATGTCATAGTGTGCCTGGCCGCTACAGTTAGGCATATCGCTTCCAGGACCGGTAGCTCTATCGATTTGTTTGCCTGGTGCGGACCGGTGTCTTTCTGGGCTGGCTCGCTCCTTAATTATGGGTTTAAAGTAGACATTACTGCATCAGCTGTGCCCTAATTCCCATTTTGGTGGCGTATGTCTAGCGGAGGGCCGTAGCCGGCTGCGGCACAGTACCGGGTGGGGAACGGCCGGTGTGGGCCGCAGATGGCTCCGTTCGTCCCACTCCCACGGCGGAGACGGCGGTCTGCCGCCTCTGGGAACTGGTGGGACGGTCGCCCACCTGCCGATACTCGAGTCACGCTCGGTCCGCACGGACGGCGGCGTCACTCAGACCGTCACGGACCGTCCGTAACGGTGTAACGAGAGTCGTGACGGACGCGGGGATCTCCATGACGCTCGAACTGATCTCCGTGACCAGCCGGCGATCTCCGTGGTCTGCCCGTTCTGAGTCACCCGCCCGGGCTCGGTACTGCCTCTCACCGGATGCGTGGGGTGCGGTCCGGTCCTTTGTGGACGGCCGTGCTCTCTGCCGCCGGGAGGGGGGAGGTTTTGTTGTGTCCGCCGGCGCTGATGGTCGTTTCCGGCCGGTATAATCGAGGGATGCCGTGGCACGAGAGCGGCCCCGCCCCTGTGTTTGGATCAGATCCCACCCAACGGCACGCAGCCCGGCCGGCGCAGGATAGATAGGCCTAACCCCCACCTGTCACCTCTGCGTGGTCCTCCAAAGCAATCGGTCTCGGCTGATAAATGAATGTCGATATCGACTCACTCGTTAGCGTTGTTACACTTGTTAGTTGTAAAACATGAAAGCTTTAAATGGTTCATTAGCTCGAGCTTACCGAACTTACACATGCACTTTTTTCACTTGCCTTCTGTCGCTAAGAACTTAGTTGAAGTGTTCCTTCGCCTGCCGTAATGCCTCTTTTTCGAGTTGTGCTGTCTTTCTGTGTGTCCATGTTCCATCAATAACCCTTTTCTCCATCCGGCAGACCTCGGGCGCGAACCGGGCTCTCCGCCTGAAGGCCGCTCCCGAGACGGCGGCCACGCTGTCGGCCGGTCGGCGGCCCGGCGCCCCGCCTCCGTCGGTGTTCGACGAACGACAGTACGTGGCAGGAGGCGCCCTGAGACCCGGCGAGGACCCCTACAAGCGTAACAAGTTCAACCAGAAGATCAGTGACAGCCTGGCCAGCGACCGCAGCATACCGGATACCAGAAACTCGGCGTGAGTACCGGACAGAGCTGGGGGTGGGGGGGGGGGGCTGTCCTGTCGGTTGGCGGCATGTGGCGTAAATCGATGCCGTGAGGGAACAAAGCATTAAGCCACAATTTGCAACCCAGTAAGGAAACACGTTCCTGAAACTTTTCAAGCCACTTGCATACACATTGCTTTTGTGTGCAGAATGCATCACAGGAATCAAGATCAGTCAACGGAACACTTGTCGCCACCATAAATAGTGCCGCATTAGATCTACGATCCAGATAGTCTAGATCGTAAATAAATAGAAGATAATAATGCAAGATTAAAGCAGCACAGTCACCCAATGTTTCGTGCTATCCACTTTATCACGGGTGATATGACAGGTCGCCGGCCTGGCTCAGCCGCCGTCGGCGTAGCTCCGTCGGCGTCAGCGTATTCTGGTGGACACTGACGGGCCCGGGCTGGCTGGGTGGCCTAGTTACACGTCACAAATGGATCGCCGTCTGTCTCGGTGGTCCGCTATTTGGCCGTTCACGGTGCTAGATTCCAGCCACCTACCGTCTAGGCACCTGCCGTATAGCCACTCGCAGTCAACCACTCCACACAGTCCACCATATTCCGTTCCAATCCAACCACCGGCAGTCCACAAATGTACGTCTTATCACCTGCATCTTGGCTGGTGTCTCGGTGCGACATGAGCACTGAGCAGCAGTCTTCTCGTCAGCCTTATTGGTCGTTGGCAGTGACTGATAACCCACTCTGACACTGCGCTGGCCCTAGAGGTGACGAGTTATTCCCCGCGTGGTCACAACCAGTCCCGAGACTAGCCGCGAAGGTGCAGTCCCACGCCGGTCACCGCCGCGACATGCCGCTATCACAGGGCAATCCTGTCATCTGACTAGACCTGGACACGTTCCGTGACCGACTACGGTGTCATATCGTGTTAGATAGGAGAGCCGTTTAATCTGCCGGACGAACGGTGGAGAAACTCCCCGCGAGGCTCGAGCATCGTGTGAGCGTATTGCTCGTGACTGAGTTGCCCTCGGCTGTGTCTCTGGGCGCGGCAGCTGTACGATATGACCGTCTCCTCTCAGGGGAGCTGTCCAATCTGTGTCGGAATGGATGGCCTTGTGCCATCACATAAACTGGCCAGTTGCTAACGTCGTTCATCGGGCAGCGTTGCTCGGTAATGTTGGCGAACAGCAGCGAATGGTCGCAAACAAGATTGCTTTACTAATAGTCGCAAAGGCTGAGAAAGGGGCGGGTATGTTGAACATTTCCGCCGTGGACGGTGATGGTTTGAAATGTGACCAGGCTGTCGCCCAGGCCTCGTGCCGAACAAGGCAAGGCGAGTGCATGTTTGATTGGTTTTCAGCTCATGTAGCTATTGAGCAGTGTGGATAAAGGAGGTCCCAAAGAGTCCGTCTGTGGTACCTACTCTGAACTCTGTTCTCTAGGGCGAAGTTGGAGCTTTTACTCGGACCAAGGGCATGTACAGTCGGCATAATCATAACTGAAAGGCCAATCTACTTAGAGGATAGTTTTGTTCGAAAAGTTCCACGACGAATCCGTCCTTTCGCCGGCAAAGTTTGGGCGCCATCCCCCCCTCCCTTCTTGGATCGATGGTTTTCTCCTAATTATCTTTCTTCCAGCGCCTCAAGCGTCCGCTTCCGTCGGTAATTTGGTGACTCGACCACGCGGTCCGCGCCGCACGAGCTGGGTCCCCGCGCACGTCTGGCCCAGTTCGCCACCCGGTCCTCAAATCCGTAACACCAAATACGGTCCACCGTCTGCGGCGGTGTTGGCTTTCCTGTAGTGGTGTGGTCCTGCCTGCCGATTAGGCTCGTATGCTGCGGCGTGCGGGCCGATTGATCAAGCTCGGCAGCCTGACTCTCTCCAGTGCATTCTAACTACACGTGATACGCGTCCTGGGTAATTAAGAACAAAGCAGCCGCGGCTATTAAAGGCGGCAGATGCGGTACATATGAAAGTTCCGAGTCAGACATGAATTGAGGAGTAATGGGCTGCCCCACACATGTACTCGCTTAGAAAATTATTCCTTCTATTTTTTCCAATAAGTGACCGCAAACATGCTCATTTTCACATTAAGCGAACTAATGTGATCTCTGATCATCATCCCCGGGTGTTTATTATAGCATCCGGTCGGGCTGGCTACGGCGGTCCCGAAGTCTCCCTGGGATGGGGCGGCACCGGCTGTTCCAGTTAGTCTCTAAATTGTGGAAACTGGGAACCGTCCTGCCCTTTTCTGAATGCCGCTAGGTGGTCTAGGTCTCGTAACTATACGGCCGTGCTTTATCCGAGAATTGACGTAGTTCACGAATGGTCAAAATCCATGAATTGCTTCCAATTTATCATTGCTTTGACCACTTCAAATCATTTACTCACTTTTGTCCTAGCTTATTTGTTCATTCCCTCCATGGGGTAAAGCAAGAAGCTGCCAACCGAATTCCTCAGTACCGCAGTGCTCGCCTCATGCCTGGCCGCGCTCGTGGCAGTATCCCAGCTGGCCCAGTATTTTGTTTGGCGGCCCGTTTGGCAGCGGTGCAGAGCTACTGGTGCTGCCCCTCGCCACCTCACCGCCCCTCCTCCCTCTCCCCTCCGTGTGCTGGAGAACTTGGAGAGTTGTGCTTTTATCAGCTCATGATGTAGCTTGGCGGTCTACGGGCTGACAGGACCGGACGGTCTTACTGAGTTCCGGAGGATACTTGTGCCTAATGCCAATGCTTGAGCTTTCTTGTACCGACGGGCTGTCCTTCCAGCGGCTTCAATGTGCGAACGGCCGATTCTTTCGGTCCCTCTGGACTCTGGAGCCCTCTTTTTGGCGTTCCTTCGGGTTCTCCATTCAATATTTTCGTCACACCATAGGAGGCTCGAATCGAGCCCGCCCGCTCCAGCACCATCGTCCCTCCTATTTTCACCGATGATCGATTCTATTAATAGAAAGCTGGCCTGCCGACGGGCGCCGCGATGTGCCGTGGCCGTGAGATTCTGTTCCCGTCCGATGCCATCGGCGATGGTCCCGTGGTGCCGCCCACGAACGGTGGCCATCGTACGCCGATACGGCGTAACTGCCCCACGCGTGGCACCCAGCGTATGATTTATGATAGTGAGACTTTCTCCTGAGCGTTCAGTATCGGCTGAGTGGTCGTGGTGTCCTGCCAGTAACGTCTCCGCTGCTTCGTTGAAATCGAACGCTCGCTTGCAGCTCTTCGAAAACAAGAAAATCAACCCATTGTCTGTATTTTCCATTAGATGGCGCTTGAATAATTCTATTTTATAAAATTGTATTATGACATCCTGGGCTCAATTTCACCAAGTGCGGTAAACCCAATTTGGGGTAAACCACCAAACTACCCCGTAACCCCACTACGTAACTGCAAAAACTACCCCAAAATTGAGTTTGCCACACTGGGTGAAATTGGCCCCAGGGACCAATCTCACCATAGGCGTAGGAACAGGGGGGGCCAGGTGGGCAAGTGCCCACCCACTTTTCGAGGTGGGGGGGCCAACCATGTGTTTTGGCCCACCCACTTTTTACTCGAGGCCCCTCGTCTCGATTTGAGAGGACGTCGTCACCTCCCAGAATAAACAAACTCGGTAAAAATAAGTTCCACGAATCCCCACGCACGGACTCCAAGGGGCCGTGATGGATCCAATGAGGCCCTCTGTTCATACCTGTCAGTCGAAGCCCCTGAGACTGATGGCCTGAGAGGCCCTAGTGGATCTGAGGAGGCCCCAATATCCACACTGGTCTGGGGAGGCCCCTGACACTGCCGGTCTGGGAGGCCCCTCTATCCACACTAGTCAGAGGTCTGAGACTGGTGGTCTGGGAGGCCCCTCCATCCACACTAGTCAGAATAGGCCCCTGACACTGACGTTCTAGCCGAGGCCCCCTACCCTCACTAGTCAGAGGAGGCCCCTCTATCCCCAATAGTCAGAAGAGGCCCCTGAGACTGATGGTCTGGGAGGCCTATCCATCTACACTGTAGTCAGAGGAGGCCTCTGAGACTGATGACCTGAGAGGCCCTTATAATCACACCAGGCAGAAGAGGCCCATGAGACTGATGGACTGAGAGGCCCTTCTATTCATACTGGCCACAGGAGACCCCCAAAACTTTCGGTCTGGGAGGTCCCTCAATCCGGCACCAGTCAGAAGAGTCCCCTGAGACTGATGGCCTAGGAAGCCCTTATATTCACACTAGGCAGAGGAGGCCCCTGAGACTGATGGTATGAGAGGCCCTCATATTCACACCAGTCAGAAGAGGCCCCCGAGGCTGATGGCTGTGAGGCCCTTCTGTTAATTTAATTGGCCACTGGAGGCCCCTGAAACCGGTGGTCTGGGAGGGCCCTCTATCCACACTAGTCAGAAGAGGCCCCTGAGACCGACGGTCTGAGAGGCTCTTGTATTTATACTGGCCACAAGAGGCCCCTGAGACTGATAGTCAGAGAGGTCCACTCCTAATGAATCTGAGCGGGCCCTCTATCCACATTTACACTTTTCTAGGGAGGCCCCCGAGACTGATGGTCTGAGAGGCCCTTTTATTTATACTGTCCACAGGAGCCCCCTGAGATTAATGGTCTGAGAGGCTCTTCTATTTACGAGTATACTAACCAGAGGAGACCCCTAGGATTGATGGTCTAACAGGCCCTTCCATTTATACTAGCCAGAGGAGGCCCATGAGACTGATGGTCTGAGAGGCCCTTCTATTCAAACTAGGCAGATGAGGCCCCTGAGAATGATAGTCCGAAGAGCCATGCGGCGACAACTGGCCGTGGCCATATTTCGGCTCGGTAGGGCCCCACAGAGCTCATGAGAGCACCTCAAGGGCTCCTAAGTAGACACGCTTATCCCCATAAGGGTGCCACGCCGGCTTCTGAAGGCTCCTTGTAGGCATCTAAGGGCCCTTTCCGGCCGCTAACGGCTCCACCCGCCTGTGATGGCTCCACACCAGTGTTTATGAGCGCCACACAGCGGCGCCTTTGAGGGTCATACTAGTGTCTCT